CAGTGAGTGTATTCTGTAACTTTCCTTGGGAGATCTACCATGTAAGTGGTTTGGTCTTTGTTTAGCTCTAAGGCTGTGGTCACACACACTGAATAATCCACTTTCAATACACTTTCAGTGCACTTTCCAATTGGATTTTACTGTGTGAACTGGCAAATTCCAGTTGGAAAGTGGATTGAAAGTGGATTATTTAGTGTGTGTGACCTCAGCCATATACAGAACATGTAACTATGCATGTGCTGTAGCACCAGATCTACATGACTGCAACAGAAAATGTAATTCTTCCTCTTACAAGGCAGAACCAATATATCCAGCTCTTCTGTTGTAGCTTTTATGCTCTTGAAAATTGCTTTGTCTGCCTTAAATTGTTTTATTGTCCCTAGGCTACATATAACCAGTACCATCAGTCACTAGTCATGCTGGTAAAACTTCTTAAAAACTTTGGTGCTCTTAATAGACCAGTACTATTGCTTTTGGCATAATATTACTAAGAGTGCATCCAGATGTGCTGTGTATTGTGCAATTTAGAGCTAAAATGAGAGTGTAGGAAGTAATACTTGGAAAGAACAGTCACTGTGGGTCAATTCAGACATTTGCACTGGTAGTGTATGCGTGGTCACACATGAAACTGCCTGAATCAGACCATTGGTCCATCAAGGTCTGTATTGCCTACAAAGACTGGCAGTAGCTCCCCAGGATCTCAGGTAAAGGTCTTGCATAACACCTACAGCCTGGTCCTTTTAAACTGGAGATGCCAGGGATTGAACCTGGGTCCTTCTGCATGCAAAGCAGAGGCTCTTTCACTGAACCACAGCCTGTCTCCTGCATGGTGGAGGTGGGAAGGGTATTCAGTAATCTGCATGAACACCACTCAAATATGGTAAGACATTCATGTGTAAGCTAGGTGCACATAGAAATGTATATGCTATTGGTCTGATTTCTATGACTGTGGAAAGTCATACTTATGTGGAAACAGCCAGCTCATATTTGATGTCATCTGCCTCTACACCCAGCATGCATAGGTGTTACCAGCTAGAATAGTTGAGCTGTATTGTTTCCATTGCACAAGGAATGCATAAAAGCTAAAGTTGTAGTTATCAGCAGTTTCATTTTTCTGTTTTGTATAAATTAACTATTAAATAGCCTAGTGTCTGGACCATATTCTAGTATTATTATCTGCAACTTTTTTGAATGAAGTCACAGACAGAAAACGAACTACTCACCAGACTCGGGGCACCCAAAATCCAGGCTTCTTTTCACCAGGTCTCAGTTTTAAGTTTAGATTTTTGGAAACACTTACATTTATTCGAAATATCCCATAACAGTCTTCCTGCCATAACAAAAAAATAATTCTAGTGAAATCACAGATAAATCAAAACATTCCACGAATCATACATAGAACTGGAAATATTTCTTTATAACCTGACGAACTGGCACCTTAACTATGGGTCTTCCTGCTCCAGCAAGGATGATAACATGCATGGAAAAGGGGGGGGGGAGACCCTACAAGCAAAGGGTGTATATCATTTCTTGTCCAACTATCCACATGGACATCAAATCAGAAACACGAGTCAGCTGCTTGATGACTCCCATTTTCCTTTTCCACTCTCCACCAGCATTGATGATAAAGCTGATAATAGCACCAACAGCCGGTCCACTAGTTTTACACTGCCTATACTGCTGTAATACATTAGGACTTTCTTTCAGACTAACTTTCAGATCTAACTCACTGCAGCAATGTAAGATTTTCATGTATCATACATCAGGTTGGATCCAACCAGCTTTCCCACTGCTGAGAAGGGGAGGGTGGGGTCTTCTCTGGCCAGCAAGAAGACTATGCTCGGGATGATGGGAACAGTATGGGTAAATGCCAAAAGTTGTAATAAGGATTGGGATTGGGTAAGACTTAAAGAAAAGGCTGGCTGTATCCAATCCATCAAGTCATTTCAGAAGTACTTATGTTCAGCCTCTTCTTAGATCAAGTCAGTGCTGCCCTTGTGTTTAACAACATTGCTGCTATACCTTCAAAATGATATCTATTTATTTAAATCCAAATCCCAGATCTAATCACTGAGAAGAACACTGTTTCTGCAATGATGCTCAGTTAGTAATACTTTGGAAAATTAGGACTGGACAAACTTGTTTTCTAAATCAGGTAATTCTGCACTGTAGTGACGTAACTACTCAAGAGCTGTATAGTCATGTTATTTATTGTTCAAATATTAGCACGAACCACTTGGGGGGGGGATGATGTTGTAAGCTCCTTTGGGTCCCCATTGGGGAGAAAAGCAGGATATAAGTATCTAAATAAATAAATATCTTTTCCCCTGCTCAGTAATGGGTCTCTTTTAGTCAGTGGAATTGTTGTTATGTATAAAAGAAGAAAAGAGACTTGTTCTTACCCTTGCAATAATGTGCGGATCATTGCACTTTGCCAACTTCCCAGCAAAAAGCTGAACTCCAAAGCTTGCAAAAACAAGCATTAATGTCAGCAAAAGAATAGAGACCTGTAAGGGTGAGTTAAAAGTAATCAAACTTCCTTCAGAGAGCTTGTATTTAATAGCTTGATCCTTCCTCTGTGAATGCCTCTAATATTCATTTAATCAAGATTATGGGTTTTGCTGCAAAGTATGAAACAATGGCCTCGGTCACATGGGAGGATTTGATCCGCAAGAGGGACGGATCGGGGCGCATCAAGCGGCATCTGGGAAGCGGCAAGCACCCGTCCCCGATCCGTCTCTTCAGCCCACAAATGCGCATCGAAAAGGTACTAGGAAATGAGCAGTACCTACTGGATGCTGCGCGGCAACAGAAGGTGTCTGGTCGGGGAAGTGCTGGTATCCCGTTGCAGCCAGCACCGTTCAAACGCGGAACGTCCATTTTGCCGCACCCGCCGTTCCCCATCCCGCACATGCGCACAAACGCGCCACGTCCATTTTGCCACGCCACGTCTGATCGCCTGCTGAAGGCCGGAGCATGGAGCTACGGGGGCGCGTCGGATCACGCTCCCGCAGTTCTTTTTGCTCCGGCTCTACTTTGCCTCCCTTCAGCGGCATGGTATCCCGCTCGTGTGACTGGGACCAATGGTGTGGATCCACTGGAGAAAGAGCCACTTAAGTTGGTGGAAGGCTCTTTAGACTGGAGGAAAGTTAAAAACTTTGGTCAGTGGAGTGGTAGGACAGGGGTAGGATCTACACCCTTGTATCTGGGGGGGGGGTCTTCCAGTCAGGGCTGGGGCCAATAAGTCACTCAGCAATGCAAAACAGTGCTTCCTGAGCACTGTAAACAGACCCCAATGTTTGATTTGTTCATGCTGAGTCAAAAATTTGCTGGGGAGGAGTGTAGTAAAAGGATACAAAAAGGATAAAACAGTGAAGAAACAGTTTGTTTGGAGGAGAGACCATCTGCTTCCTCGTGGGGTCTGGGAGGAAGAACCAGAAATAAGTCTTGTGAGATGGCTACTGGAATAGTTACAGTTAGGGTCTCCAGGACCGAATTGTAACCCAAGGAATTTAGCATTGGTTGGCCACTGGCCTGACATACCTTTCAGATGCAGCATGGGGATACTACATGATCAGTATTCTATTTACTATTTTATCACTGTCAATGTGAATTACATTTTTTGCTGTAATGTCACGTTCTACGCACATGGATTCCTATGATGAACTCACAGAGGAGTAATACTAGTATATATTGAGCAGGATGTACACTCTCTGCAATCATACACAACTATTCACATTTCATCTTAATATGTGCACAGCCACCAACAAACGGCTCATTGTATTTGCATTAATATCTACACATGTTTCTCTGTATGCATCCATTTCCCTTGTCTCTGCCACACAAACACAGACACAGACTACTCATACATACCCTTGGGTCCCCATAGCATTATGTTTGATGGATTCTCCACATTTCCTATTAAGAGCTTTGGAAGGGCATGGACATCAGTACTCCAAATACCTGCACGACTGTATTCTATGCTCCAATGCAGTGTTCCCTCTAAGCTAAGTTAGTGTGAGCTAGCTCACAGCTTTATAGCCCCTGGCTCACACATTTTGGTCTTAACTCAGGAAGGATGGCTCCACAGCAAACTAATTTATGCAGTAGCCAAATCGCTGGCTCACAATTTATTGCCAGTAGCTCACAAAGTAGAATTTTTGCTCACAAGACTCTACAGCTTAGAGGGAGCATTGCTCTAATAACAGCAATTAGTCCATTTGTCTAGAACAAATGCTGCCCATATTTACTTGGATCCTATGACATGGTTTTACGTGCACTTCTCCCCAGCTTCTGCATTGCCTGTCCACTGCTGTGGATGCCTGCTTTGTTTCGCACTAGTTACTTCTGCTTGAACAATACCAATGTTTTTCAAGGAGTGTTATGGAAGTACCTAGAGGGGAGAGGAATCAGGTGCTGCAGTGGAGAAAGAGGAGTGTGGCCAGAAAAAAGAATGTGAGGAACAATGTCATAGCCTCCAAGCCTAAGTGTTAGGGTCTCTAACAGTAATGTAATTTCAAGGAAAGATGTCTAGACTGTGTGCTGCAAATGAATTCCTCAGAATGTGCAAAAAGATTTGTAGCAAGTGGTAAAAGCAGCACCATGGCCTGTTATTTTTGATTCCTTTACTTTACAAGGAGATAACTAGAAGGCATTAGAGATGGTTGCAGGGCACAAGACAAAACAGAACTTCAAACCTACAGTTTTTAGGTTACGGTCAGGGGCATTCATTCTGTAGCCACAAAAAATGTGAATGGAAACAAAACTGCACTTACTAGAAAGATTTCTTTGAAGCCACTGAAGAGCTCCCGGACAACCTTTCTCATTTGAGGCACCAGTTTGAAGATTCGGAGGGGCCGCAGACAGCGCAGCACCATTAAGAGCTGAGTTCCCGATTTAGCAGGAACATTCTGAGGCATCCAGCAGAGAAATATCAAGCTTACCTTTTGAAAGATATTTAAAAAGACTAAGGATTCAATCAAATAGTGAAACAAGAACGCACAAGACTATGTGCTATTTTATACAGAATTAAGCCACCTTTCCATCCAATCAGGGTTTCCAAGACAGCAAATATAAAAAGATCAAAACATTGAACAACTAAAAACAACAGTATAAATGATAAAATAATAAAAAATATATACAAATAACACCAGAATCAGAGAGGTGGGCCAATAACCATTATTGGGGGTATGCCAAACGAAACAAAAAAGTCTTCACCTACCGCTGGAAGACACCAGTAGAGGAAGACAGACAAATCTCCCTGGGCAGGGAGTTTCAAAGTTTAGTTGTCATGACTGAGAAAGCCCTTTCTTGGGTTGCCACCCCTCTACCCTCAGATGATGGGGACAACCAAAGCCGGGCCTCTGAAGGTGAATATGGGAAAAGGCAGTACCAAACAATACAGGGCTTTAAAGGTCAATACCAGCATCCAGAAGCAGACAGGGAGCCAGTGTAGATGGAATGAGACTGAAGTGAGATGGTCCCTAAAACCTACTCTAGTCAACACTCTGGCTGCAGCATTCTGTATCAACTGTAGTTTCTGAATAGTCTTCAAGGGCAGCCCCATGTAGAATGCCATTCTAAATGGGCATGGGCAGTCTATGCTACCGATCCTGGTATATCAGTGGCTACTTTGGCCATCTAATATAGTCGCAGTGCTGACACTCCCACAGTAGCAAGGTAGAAAACACTAATTTTATTTAATTCACTTATATGCCACCTTTCTCCCCAATAGGCACCCAAAGCGGCTCACATCATTGTCTTCTCCTCCATTTTATCCTTACAACGTAGTTTAGGCTGAGAGAGTGGTCCTTTCCACACTTGGATCTCATCCCTGGTTTTATCAGAGTTCAGTTTGTGACACAATACCTTGCATTTATTCCTTGTTATAACAGCATCCATTTATCCCAGGACAAGTGTGGGGTGAAACCGGGGTGAAATCAATGTAATGGGGAAACAAAAAATATCCCAAGATAATTACAGGGGTGAACTCAAGTACAGTGTAGAGAGATTTTGCTCTTGTAACAGTGGTGAGATAGAGTCAATGGCGCATGTCTTTCTTCGCTGTTCTTTCTACAATGAAAATCGTACTGCCCTTATCTCCCCATTACTTGAGCTCTGTCCTGACACCTCCGACTCTGGGATCATTAACACACTTCTCTCTGATGTGAGCATAGAGATCACCCGGAAAGTTGCTAAATGCTGCTCCCAATTAAACTACGTTCCATATATATTTCCCAACTTAATGTGGAAGATAGTAGCTGATTGTATTCTATATTAGAATTTCAATGTTAGAAACTACTGTATTTCTATTAGTATTAGTTTTAATTTACTTTTATACACTTCTATATTTGAATACCTTAATTTTTATATGGTCATTTTTATTTTATTTTTTCCTTACTGGTTTGTATTCTGGTCATGGATTGTAAATAAAGTATTGATTGAAGTCAACACAGTGTAACACACTTGTTCAAGGAAACCAGCTTTATTAAAGATTTTCAAGTGGCCTACTGCACAGCCTCCAGAACAATTCTTAAAAACGGTTTGTCAGCTCCCCCCTCCCCTAGAGGAGGGAGAAACAACACATAACCAACCCAAATGCTCAGATGTTCAACACCACCCCCCACTGGAAGGAGGTGCTTATATAACCATTATGATAGCAACGACAGTCTCTCCACAAAACCGTTTCACTACCCGCCAATCATAATTACACACAGCAGTGACACTCTCACATCAGCCTCACACATAAGGCACCAACCAACATAGGGTGCAGGGATAGGGTGATGTGATCTTCACAATGGCGAGAGAGAAAGAATCTCTTAGATCCTCAATTTTACTGGACTGGATGCCCCTTCTGACATACAGAGCCACTTCACCTGAAACCCTTCCCTCCCTATCCTTCCAATATAATTTATTTAATTTTTTTGGCCCCCCCGGAGGGGATTTTTTTTATTGCATTTTTTAATTAGACTACAAACTACAAAGAAAATAAGGGAAGGGAACTACAATTAGGGTGAAAGAAAATATAACCACTACTATCTAAAACCCCAAGAGTAGGAGATCATTAAAACAACTTGAATATAATTTTTTTCCATACATTGCTAATATTCTTTGAATGTAGTCAGACATACTAAAATATCATTTAAATTTTAGATTTAAATGTTAGAGAGAAACCCCATAGCATCTCATTATTAAAAGCTATACTTTCAAAGGCACAATTCAGAGTCCTTCAGCCTTCATTTTTTCTTATCTTGTCTTTTCCTCAGTTTGTATGGACTGCCCCTTTTTCAGAAAGAGAGTTCTCTCCGGAAGACCCTGAGTCCAACTCGCCACTGGACTTGCTGTCCTTCTCCTCTTTATCCACCTCCTCTGGCTCACCCAACTGGATTCCCAAAAACTCCCATGCTTTGGAAATCTTTCTTTTTTGTCCTGAAGTTTGAAGGTTACGCCCTCTGGAATTAAGGTAAAGGTAAAGGTTCCCTTGCTCGAAAGCCAGTCAAGTCCGACTCTAGGGTTGCGGTGCTCATCTCCGTTTCAAATCCGAAGAGCCAGCGCTCTCCGAAGACATTTCCGTGGTCATGTGGCCAGCATGACTAAACACCAAGGTGCACGGAACGCTGTTACCTTCCCACCGAAGTGGTACCTATTTATCTACTTGCAATTTCTTGCTTTCGAACTGCTAGGCTGGCAGGAGCTGGAACTAGAGATGGGCGCTCACTCCTTCATGCGGCAACTTGGGTCTCAAACTGCTTAACTACTAACCTTCCATAGCCTGCAGTTCAGCGTCTTAACCACTTGAGCCACCGCACCTCTAGAATTAACCACCTGTAAACGATTGCATTTGTTTGAAGAAAAAGAATTAAATCTTTATATTTCTTTCTTCTTTGTCTTATTTCAAATGGGATGTCTTTCAAGATCCTGATAGTATTGTCCCCAATTTTCAAGGGTGACCCCGCAGTCACTCTCAGGATAGAATCCCTCACATGCCTCTTTGAGAATCTCATTACTATTTCCCCAGGCAGATTCTTCTTCTTTATGTATACGGAATAGGACCTGTAGGCCATATCCATCTTGCTCATAAGGTATTCCGCCTTCAAGTCTGTCACTGGGGCTAATGCTTCGCTCATCATTTGCTTCAGATTCTCTCCTTTGGATTCTGGGACACCTTGGAATCGAAGGACCAGGTTTGCCTTCTCCATTTGTAGCTGTAAAAGTTGTTCTTCTGTAGAAACCTGCTTCTTTTCCAGTTTTTGCACCTTTTTCTTCACATTCCTTCACATTCTCAGCTGTTTGCTCCGTAATTTTAGGAGTTTCATTCAACTGAAGCTGCTGAGTAATGATGCTTTGGTTCATCGTTGAGAGCTGTTCCTTGAGATTAGTCATCTGGTCCAGCAGGGGGTGCAGGGATTCTGCCAACATCTTAGCCAACTCGGTGGTTTCTTCTGGACGAGGGCTCCCAGTTACTTTCGCTTTTAAAAGTTTTTCTTTCTCAGTCCTCTTCCCCGCCATCTTTATGGATTGTTTACATTCTGAAAATTTGCTAAAGTCTTTGAATATATGCTCATCCGCGCCCTGGTAAGTCTCTTCCAACAGATTTCAGCATTTTTACTTCCGCTCGGGTCTCGCTTTTTAATTCATGTGCATGGGAGGGGCCCCTCCCCCACTCGCTTTACTTTCTAGTCCATGGGGTGGGAGCTTTCTTTTTAAATTGTCAATTACACTCTAATCCGACTCACAGTTCATGTTCGGTCTTGCGACCTCGCTGTAGCTCCGTTTAAACTGCTCGATCTCCAGCGCTTGTCCCAGTCAGCGTCACTAGTTCCATATGGGCACACAGCAGGAGGACTGTCGGGACGGAGAAGTGCCTCGATTCCACAGCATCGCGCTGGTGAAGAGGCCACCTCTCAAAAGTCCCATGGCTAGGAGCCTTTCAACCAGGCTCTGGGTCAGTAGCGAGACGTGGGCCCCCCCTCCTATCTGCTGGTGCACAGATTTCATCCCTGGGAGGTCTGGGAGATGAGTCTGCTCAGCGTGCCGCCATAAACCGGAAGTCCTTCCAATATAATTTATATCCAGGAATCACTATATTCCACTGATTATCCTCATCCCACCAAATTTCTGAAATGCCCACAATGTCTATGTTCTCTTCTGACACTAAGCAAACCAGCTTGCTCATTTTACCTTTGACACTTCTAGCATTTGCATATAAACATATGTCTATCCACAAGGAAACAGCCGAATATGAGCCTCGGATCCCTCATACAGTAGTTATTATTGACTTATTATTGACAATCTAATGGGGTTTGTGACTTCCTTATGAGCAATGGCATCATGGTGGTCTTTTATTAGTAGCTTCTTGACTGAAACAAAGGTGTGGTTGGCTTTGATGGGATTGGAAAACACATAGAAAATTATTTCATTGGTTTCAATGACATTAGATTGCTCTCCTTTTCTTGGAAGCATGACTCATTTTATTTTGATAGGGCTCAGTTCCCAGCAATGGTGCTTTAGGACTATGATACATATCTATTTTTTTTTGTCTAAAAATCACTCAATTTGGGGTTTTTTAAAGGATCGGGACACATTAATGCAACTTTCTCCTTTCTCAGATAACAACACACACATGAATATGGTACAACGGATGGTAACTAAATTTATGTTGTAGCTTTTCAAGATGTTGGAAATAATTTGGAATATATACATTCCATGTAAAATTTTTGATCAAAGAATGGAGATTTTTGAGAAATGACCTCATTTTCTGACTGAAGGCACATTAGGCTTGAATACAAATTATGACAAATTATATTCATTATATCTCTGATTTCTATTTCTTATATTTCTATAAGATTTAATCAAGCTCGCAATGTTTTCACTCAGAAGTTTTGTTCATGGTGTTAACCAGTTCATATGAATTTTTAAAACAGACTCTTTCAGATAACATTTGGATTTGTTATTTATATGCCAAATATTGGTAATTCAACATTACATAACATAAATTGATTTATCATCTATTCGCCAAGTACAGGCACAGAATAAACAGCACAAAATGAGGCACATCCTATTCTGAAGTCTAGTCAGCTATGATACCCTATGACAAAAGATGCATGCCAAGGAAGGTATGCACATTCATCTGAATTAAAAGATACGTTTTCTGGGGGAATGGAGGCTGTGAGTTAAGAAAAGTGGGCTCTGAGGAGAGACGTTAATGGTAAAGTGATCAGAACTAATACATTTAGGGACAGAAAACATGATGAAAAGAAAGAATGGGCCCTTATGATTAGATAACCAGTACGGGCCCTATGTGAGCCGCCCTGAGCCCGTTCGCGGGGAGGGCGGGGTATAAATGCAATAGAATAACATAAAAGAAATAAATAATGAGGCTGGTGGCAGATGCGTGGTGCGGGTCACAGATTCAGCTATAAGCAAATGTGTCACTGATGGATGTATACACATGTGTGAATAAGCATTCAGGCATCCAAGATGAAAAAGCTGCAGCACCAGACTGGGTACATAAGGCATTTGAACTGTAAATGGAGATGCAGGTGCTCAACCACTGAGCCACAGACTGTCCAAGTAGATGATGTTAACTGTGTATGTTGGACAGGAGAATGGTAAGCTACAAGGAAGCATAACCATACAAATGAATCACACTTTAGTATATATGTTTGTCTAACATTTAAAAGTAAATAGCTATGTATTATGGATAAATTACTAAAAGTACTTTGAAGTTTGACACAATCTATGAATAAAAAATTATTTTTAGTTTCTTACAGGGACTCTAATTCACATTTCGAAAAGAACACTTCAAAAATGAACATAGGAATTTTAAGGGTTGTTTGTGAAAAATCCATAAAGAATGCAAACTTACAAGATATATAAATATATCCATGACACCTCCAAAGTCTCTTATGACCGCCGTTGGAGTGAAAAACAAGCCATCGGCCATGATCTTCAGATTAAGTTCAATGCTCATGAAGATTACAAAAACATATTCAGCAATCTGGAAAGCAAAGCAAAGATCAATAACCATTAAGTGCTAAAACGGTAAGAAAAGAGATCCGTTTGTACAACAAATGAGACAGACATCCACAGAATTACCTGAAGTGTTGGCGCATGCATAACTCGGCGAAAGGGGGATTCAAACATCATTGAAATGCAGGAGCATATAGTAACAATGATCATTACCCAGTCAAGGTAAGTTACCAATCCTACCAAATCACTGCAAAATGAAAACAACAACAAATTTTCTTGTAAGATCGTTAGAGGGAGAGTTGATATACATCTATTGGACATACAGCATAGATGGGTTTCAACCAAAAACACTCCGCAATTTTAACATTTTCCAAATGTTTAATAACATTTTTTCTAACATATTGGCAAAAAAAGATTTCCATTTCCCAGAGTAAATTAAGTTAAAATACTTACTAAAGTTGGTGATATTTGGTATTTTTCACTGCTCCTGTAACAGGATCTGTTTTAGAACTGTAAAAGAAGAAGCACATCTTCAGAATCCTGCAAGCTATATTATATAAGAGATTCCTCCATCTTGCTCTCTGCTTGGGTTGAAGTTTAAATTCTGTTTTTGAAACAAAAACTATTTTAAGTAAAACTACAACAAACTATTTCGATGATTGTGTGCCAGGACTGAGTGACGTTTCTAAAAATAATATTTTAATGCAGTCAATGAAAGGCAATCCAAACTATTTTGTTCAGATGTTGGGTTCAGCTGGGGGGGGGGGAGGATAACTAAATGAGTGAAAGACATTTAAAAATTATATAGACACAACTATTTGCATCACTTTTGCATAATACGAGAACTTGGGATAGCCTGATGAAACTGACTGATAATTGATTCTGGACTGGAAAAAGAAGTAATTTCTTCTTAATGCCACCAATGACAAGTAACGAATTAATGGAAATTAATGGAAAGATTACTCAGTGGTACAGTTAGGTAATTTTAAATGCAGGACTTCATGGTCCTCCATCTTAGCCAGACCGGAAGCCTAGATCTGGATGATTTTAGATGGGCTGATAAAGTTTGTACTCCTTAAGATCTGGATAATTTTAGATGGGATGATAAAGTTTGTACTCCTTTGGTTGAGAGTATGAGATGAGCTTTCTGGCTGCCAGATGGTACAGATGGCACAAGCCACAGAAAGGTTCTCCCATTTCCTCTGCCAGCCCACCCCAATTCACCTGTTGATGAGGAGTGATGTTGACAATGGGAAACAACTTGGAGGACAAAGAATTATTGCAATGATGTCCCTCCACTTCTACTTTTCCACTTCTCCTCTGCCACTGCATTCTGTGGGACTGCAATTTTCAGAACATCCAACATTAACTATCCACTGTTCTAGAAAGTACATTCCCAGAAAGTACTAGGCATCCCACTCTCCTGTTACCTCCCAAGTAGGTGGGAAGCACATAATATACAACTCTGCTGAGACTAAACAAGTATGGGGTTGCTCAAGGTCCAGATGGGAGGCTTCCTGGGAATTCTATATAAATCATGGGAGATCAACGCTGGAATATAAATGAAATCAACAATATGCTTCTATTAGTTGCCATGTTCAAAGTCAGGTGAAACTTTCAGGCACCATCGGAGCAACCTAGCGCACAAATCTTTGTGCACCACCCAGTGCTCGTATGAAACCCAGTCTTCAAGGAACGTAATTCAAATAAAACGAATTTGTGCTAGAAATAATAAATGTATACTAACCACATGACACATCATCATCACATTGTGAGTTCCGATCAACAGCTGCCACTGATGTGAAATGCTAGTGGGGGAAACTTGCAACATGATGATGCTGTCTTGCCATTACAAAGTTACAGAAGGCACACGAAACGTACCAGCACATGAAACTGGATGGGTGTGGTGAAGGAGGATGCAGAGCTCGAGCAAGTCAACAAACACATGACTGCAAACTGCTCATATACTCACGCATTAAAGCGAGCTCTTACAACCACTCGGCAGAAATTTCTGAATCGATGTTCACGGCCAACGATGAAAAGAGGCTTGTCGAAGTATGGATGATTCTCTCGCAACTCCTCTTCCTGGACTTTCCTTTTAAAGAATAATATAAGAACTTGCAAAATAGTCAATCGTTGACAAAGATGCAGGCAAATATACACACCGTGACTTGGTACACAGACTGTAGTAACAGAATCACTGCAGCACAGAGGATAAAATACTGCACTTTGGAAACAAAGGTACAGCTCCCCTGGTTGGCTTTTGGCCAGTCACAATGAGGACATCCTTATTCAGTCCTCCAATTTCCTTCCCAACTGGAAGCCCTGTTAGATGGCCAACAGTGCAATCCTAAATAGAGTTACACCCTTGTAAACCCATGGACTTCAATGGTCTTGGAAGGGAATAATCCTAATTAGGACTGCATTGTAAGGCTTTGACTCTCTCTTGCCTGCAGAGATAGTTAATTACAGTGGACTGGAATAAGGAAAACATGCAAATTACTGTAGCTGGCTTGTTGTTGACTGCTTCTCCAGCCAAACACCTACTAACGGCAAAGCAACAGTCTACCTCATGGGGGTAATTGCGAGGACATACCTCCAAACTCTTCAGAAAGAAGGCAGAAAAAAGAAGGCAATAGAGCTGCACTGCATAAAATGGTTTTACAAACTTGTTTGGATAAATAATTAGGGACTGTGGTCTATACTGCTGTGTATAGCTTACTGTAAGTAGGATCCTATTATGTAATTTCTATACCACTTAATGTGTCATGTGAATAATTATGCTATGCCTCAGTTCTTTCTGGTGGTTCCAGACTTCTAATAACCCAATGCATTGGTTATTGAATGTCTCATTTTATCAATTGTACTGGCTCACTATGTTTAATCTGCCTTGAGTCCCTGTGAAAAAGGGGGACTATGAACAATGTAAATAAATAAATAATGAATATTTAGTGAGGGTATTGAGACCACAGGACAGCACAAATAATGAACACACAAAGGGGAGAGCAAGATGATGCCTGCTGGCCCCGTTTCCTCTTCTTATGCACATTCCTCATAATGTCTGAAGGTTCTTACATGTGTACAAGCTATGCACATCCTAGAAAAAAGGAGAGCCACAGGAAGTGGTGGTGGATACAAGCATAGACAGCTTCAAGAGGGGATTGGATAAACATATGGAACAGAGGTCCATGTGTGGCTATTAGCCACAAAGTATAGATGGAACACTATTTCTGGGGCAGTGATACTCTGTATTCATGATGTTTGGGGGGCAACAGTGGCAGGGCTTCTGGAGTTCTGGCCCCGCTGGTGGACCTCCTGATGGCACCTGGGTTTCGGCCACTGTGTGACACAGACTGTTGGACTGGATGAGCCATTGGCCTGATCCAACAAGGCTTCTCTTATGTTATTCTGTACACAATTGATATGTACTGGCTCTTCAAATGTGCTGAATGCATGTGGGTTGAGCCAGACCAGACGGGACTTGACCCCACAGAGAAGGGGGACTCTGTCATCATCATGGCCCCATCTCCACAGCCAGGGTGCTCCTAGTGACTGTCCACTGTGATCTCCCCCATGCCTAGGTCCCTATTCCCTGATATCAGTGGACCACCTACATGCCCTGACCTTGAAGAGGTGTATGGCAATGCCGGACACTCTGGTCCTGCAGTCGCTGGGCATCACTGAGTCCCTGGGCCCAGTGGCTTAGGGGGAGGTGATCCAGAGGTCAGACTCAACATCTTCGGATGGCTATGGCCCTGGCCTGCCAGACAGATGGGAGGATAGGGCAAGGCATGTCCCCCTGAGCTAGGTGTCAGAGCTGCTGGTGGCCTGGAAGAGGGGAGCATTCTGGCCCCTTGCTGGGGCCCACAGCTGGTACTGTCCATCCTAGCCAACATCATCCATGTGGACTGCAATTGAGCAGGAGAGGCCTGAGAGCCAGCATGAATGGTGGGAGGCCTTCTACATGGGCCAGTAATGTATGGAAGGGTTGGCAGCATTTGTGATGGTGGCTGTCAGGCAACTGGAGGGGCTTCTTGCTGTCGTGAGGGACATCAGTGAGGGACAGAAGAAGAAGAAGACATTAGATTTATACCCTGACCTTCACTACCCGAAGGAGTCTCAGAGTGGCTTACAATCCCTTTCCCTCCCTGTACAGGATTAAACCCACTCAGCCCAGTTCAGGGGTGAGAGGGAATCCTGTATTTCAGCACATTAAACAAAATCCACAAGATAGTCTGTACTCTCTCAAGGATTCACAACAGTTTGCCACCAGAATCTCTTCAAAGGGGTCCCCACCCAGCCTCAGAGCAGAGATTCAATCTCTTAGCTGGCATCTGGGACTTAACACATCAGCAACTCTAACTCAGAGATGCACACAAATACTCTCACAGTGGTAGCTCTGTGGTCACCTTAGACACAAGATTTAGCCCTGGAGTTCAATTACCACATCAGAGTCAATTACAAATATGAATGATCTTTATTCAGTGCAAAGCATAACAAGAGACTATAGAGGATACAAAAATCCTCTATTTGCCCTTACTGCACATTAATAATAATCATAGTTACCGAGTTAAGTGTAGCATCAGGTAGTCCAAAATTGTCCATTGCATAACAGTACAGGTAGGCACCAAGGGATTTTGAAGAGAAATCCCATTTTGTGCAGGGCTTTAATCCAGGACTACTCAGAGATACAGATCCACAATAACAGAAGATTGGCAACCGGCAGTCAGTTCACAAAGAAACTTTTTGTTTCAAAAGTCAGGGTCCCAGGAGCAAGAGCAAGAGAAGCAAGAGAGCTCTTCTCTAAAGAACCATGGAGTTATACCCCCCATGCCAGTCACCATCAGCTGTGGCCATCAGCCAATCATGAGCGGCAGGGGTGTGTGCCCAATTTTTGGTTGCCATAGCTGCCACATCAGGTGTGTGGGGATTGCCTAAGAAGTCAGAGGCCCTGCCTGCAGTCAGGTGATCTAACGTCCAGCTGTCTCCATTGTGTACGTGACATGGCCCATGTAGGCCATACAGAGGAGCCTTCAAGTCTGGCTCTCAGTAGAGAGGTGTTAAGGAATGTGGGTATCTGGCATGATTATATGGCATGGCTATTTGGTGGCTCAGCCATCTGGTCAAGTGACAGAAATCACACTAGGCCATCTGGCCTGCAACAGGAAAAGACACACAGAATGTCAGAATGTCATCACAGGAAGAAGGATGAGAATTTAGAAATAATATTTCTATATACTCTCCACCACAGACACCCTGTGAGGTAGGTGGGGCTCAGAGAGCTCTTCCAAGAACTGCCCTTGAGAGAACAGCTCTGAAAGAACTTATGACTGACCCAAGGTCACGCCAGCAGCTGCATGTTCCAGAGTGGGAAATGAAACCCAGTTCTCTCAGATTAGAGTCTGTGCTCTTAACCACTACAACAGGCAGCTGGGGGACCTATCAGAGGCTCTCCGTGCCCCCTCCGCACTTGCCAACCCCCCTGCTCATCCTCTAGCAGGAGTGGCACGAGGATGCCCTTGACTGGAGGGCACCCACACATCCATGTTGTTGTGACAATGGACCACCCTGTCCATCATGGCTCTTGGGAGCCCTGTACTCTGTGTGTGCCATGTGACAGCTTGGAGTGCCCACTGGGTGGATGGCTCATGCCCAGCTCCCAACCGACAGATGCCTAGGGCTTCTGACGGGAGCTGGTCTCTTTAAGGGAGAATGTGCTGCTGACAACGAGCATGGCTCCTCTGGTCTGGCCCTCTCTGCCCCCTGCCAGTGATGGACGCTTGGGAAAGCTCCCTTAAAACATGACCCTGATTGGTCCTGCCTGCCTGTCTATCATGACACTCATATCTAGCAAAAACGCTGGAATGGAATGCTGATGTGAAAATGCCATGAGGCATTTTCCACAGCAGCAGCCAGGGAAACTATGAAAACACCTTTCTTTTGCGGCTGTCCACTGTGTAACTTTCCCCTTAGGAAAAGGGACTAGCGGTTGTGGAGTTGCACTGTTGCCATCTGCCGCAGAGCAGGCACAACACAGGATTGCTCTGCCCATTCTCAAACATGAAATGCACTCATATAGAGTTAGTATGAATGTGGATTGTCCTTAAAAATGTCTTCCCCTTCTGCATATATTCTAAAAGGAACAGCTACAGTTTATATATATGGTCTTCCTTTGTTAATGATACCTTTCATTATTGCCACTCTTATCAAAATGAATATCAATATGAAGTGGTCATTAGTGTCCTTCTGATCTGTCACTCAGTAAAGACATTCAACATAAGACAGCTGAAGATATTTAAAATCCAAAATACCTTTTCATTTCAGCTTGTTCTTTCTTTTCTTGGATCATTTTTATTTCGCTGTCCTCCCTTTGAGCATTTCGGTACCGTACTGTGTTAGAATGCTGGAAGCAGAACAACAACAACAAAACAACCCACAGTTCTCTTATTTTTTCTTCTTCTGTAAGATCAAAACAAGACAATTTGTGTAATTGCATATAACCCTTCAAAGTTTTCTCTTTGAACATTACTACTGTGTGATGAAGGTTTTTATTCAGTATTGAAAAACCTTGACTAGTAACCTGATTAGTAATTACATCCAGCTACTGCAGCTTGGATACTCGGCCATTAAACACATTAGCCAAGGGCATGATCCAGCCACCATTAAGCATTCTTCCATTCCATGGATTTCAGTGGGAGAATTAGACACATGCTTAAATCTCAGTGACTGAAACCAATGGCTACTCAAAGGGCTCAACATTGGTTAGATTGTGCTCTAACCCTTTAATGCCATTTAGTTTACTCAAGTAGAAAATGATTACTTGATATAAGGAAACCTTTATTGCTATCTGTTCCTTACAAACTGGAGTCTATACAATGATCTCAGAAGAACAAAAACTTACATTAATTCTTTGTTATTATGCATGGCAATGGGACAGGCTTTGCTTAAAAATGCATCCCACTGAGTTTTGTTTTTCATGGTGGCTACTTTCGAAATCTGGGAAAACATGCCTATGTGAAGTTTTGTGAACTTATGAGAAGTTTTCACTCTGCAGTGTACTATGACTTAGATCCTATGGAAAAGCTCATGCTCACTAGACAGCCTTTGCCATGGAGTAGGCTTCTCTTTCTCTAGCGCTTTATGTTTGTGCAAGATCAGTGTGCAACTGGAAGAGGTAGCATGCTTTGTGGTAGAGGCCATCTAGCATGTGTGGAATTAGACCACAGATTCCAAGACTAGTTTATCTTATCTTAGAAAAAGGGGCAAGAAAGGGAACCAGGATCCTATTCTGACACCACACTGTATCCCCAGAGACTATTCCATATAATGCGATTGCTGCAGCATGGAAGTCTTCCTGTAGAGCTTGGCTGCAACCACTTCATCTCTGGAAGAAGGAGAAGAAGAAGAAGAAGAGGAGGAGGAAGAGATTGGATTTATATCCTGCCCTTCACTACTCAAAGGAGTCTCAGAGCATTTTATAACCCCTTTCCCTTCCTGAGAGAGCTCTTTCAAGAACTGCCCTTGAGAGAACAACTCTGAAAGAACATGTCTGACTCAAGGTCATGAGGAGTGAAAATAGGGAAGGGTCGGATGAGATGGGATTAGCAGAAGGACTGCTGTAATCAGTAAACCGAATTACAGTAGATTGTGATCTGGCTTGGTCAGGGCTTTTTTTGTAGAAAAAGCCCAGCAGGAACTCATTAGCATAACAGGCCACACCCTGACACCACAGCTCATTAGCATATTAGGCCACAGCCCCCTATTGCCAGAAGTGTGGTCATCCAGCCACACCCACCTTTTGCTTCTTATTCTGTTTACCTTGTTTGTTGTCAAAACCCAGGGCCTTTTTTTGTAGCAGGGACTCCTTTGCATTTTAGGCCACACACCCCTACTGTAGCCAATCCTAATGAGTTTCTGCTGTTGGGTGTGGCCTATTATGCTAATGAGTTCCTGTTGGGTGTGGCCAACTCAGGAGCCAGCCAGAACTCCATTCCTGTCCGTTCCTGCCCAAAAATAGCCCTGGGCTTGGTCAGCATTCCTTAAGAAGAGTGGAGGGATTTCTAGGTTCTTTGGCCTGAGGATTTGGAGCCAGCTGAACACCTTTCTATCCCCAGCCAATTTTTCATGCTCAAACCCGCCCTGTTCGTTTATGAACCATTATTCAGCCGATGATCACTACATTGTATCACATTTTTCACTTAGTAGGAAAAAAAATGATAGGGTCTCAGTTTTTTGCAGATGTTTCCTTACCATGCCAAATCTATCAAAAAAACAGGTCACATCTGTGCTTCTCCACAGAAGCAAATTATACAAAGTTTCTCTATTCAGAAGTTAACATTTAAGGAGAGATCATAAACTTTATTGCCATTTCCTTTTAAAGTGATCTGCTCACAAAGTTAACATCCTACAACACAACATTATTATCAGTACCAGTATTATATAGCGTTATATAATCAATCACGACAGCATTTATGTCATGTCGTGAGTTTTCTAATTTCGTTACTCAACCCGCAGTTTGTATTTAGACTTACATCTTGTGTTAATGTTTCAAGAGATTTCCCCCTGCTGATCCGTTGACTGTTGGAGCCGTGTCTCAGTGACCTGAAACAATCACATTCATTTGGATGATAAAGACCTAGATCAAACTACCAAGACCAAACATTATCTTTATATATGACCAAAGTATATCAAATTCTAATAATTTTCTCTCAACTTACATCAGAAGCTTATAAGATTCTCCAAGCCAGTCAGACACAGTGAAATAATTCTTTTCCTACTCTTTTACTGTTTTAAACTGATAACTTTAATGACATGGAATTCAGTTATGCTTAAAAAAGGAATGTTTCCTCTTTGTACATTTCAGTGAATTTCAGTGTCGTTCTGTAAATAATGGACAGATCAGTTCTTTGTGCAAGTCAGTCCTCATTTAGAAGTGTCTAAAGCAATGCCTCACACTGTCCGCTCTTCTTAAATATTTTTTTGTATCTCTTATTTACCTGCGTTCTTGACGTATATGATGCTGGACACTAAGAATGGATCTTTCTTTTGCAGGTTGCCCCTCAAAGGATCCACTCAACATACGCTGACGAGTGCAGGCCCTGTGAAAATGAAATAGTATTATGGTGGCTAACAACCGGGGAACCATGAGGAGTCACAGGGAAGGAGAAATCTCAGTTTTCCCCTGCTGGCTCCCTTCCCACACTATCTCCTTTTTGCCCCTACTTCCCCTCTTCATTTTCTCCGGCTCTCCTTTTCACCATGCTCCATTTCCTCTCTCCCTGTTTCTTTTCCCTCCCTCCCACTAACTTAACCATTTACCTTTTCTCATCTACAACTTTCCATACTGGGTTTTCTTCCCTCTCCCCTGTCCCCGCCCCTTACCCTGACCACCTCAGCTTCTTATGGGGATCAAAAAAACATCCGGCACCATGTACAGCAACCCCAAATGCCAGATAGATAAGTAACTAAAACACATGATCCAGTTCTTGAGAGTGCTGCTCCAATTGCAAGACAGCATTTGCATAGGACTCTGTTGAGTGTTCTTCCATCCCTCCTTATCCTCAGCCAATACTTAGAACAGGTCAATATTCAGAATAAGAGATCATTAGCCACCCATCCCTTTCCTTTCTCAGGTTTCCTAATTACTTCTTTTCCAGACAAGAGTATTAGCTGAAGTTCTGGAAGAAAAGAGACTGATGGCTAGTTTTATTTTGTGCAAAGAGAAATGAAGACACTCGAGTAGTCCAGATTAGCCAGAGCTTAGAAAATAAATAGGGATGGCCACAGTTAGTACTTTAATGGGGGACCACCAAGTTAGTCTAGGGTTGCTATGCATCTCTGTCTCCTTGAAAACCCATACGTAATTTGTTATTAATGATGATGATGAATTGTCACAGTCAGATATCTGAATGGTAGATGGTGTTCTGCAATTTGAGATCCAGCCAAGTTCTTGGGAATTATATATCTTCACAGGATGCTTTGGGAGCTGAGCTGGTATTATTTGCTCAATGCCCAAGAATGTTCAGGTGTTTATTGAGGCTTCTAGGCACTGCTCCAAGGGCTCAATGGTAACCTTTTCCTTCTCCCAGAGGTTCTCTAACTCTATTCATAGATCTAGGTATTTCATGATCCTCTCCTTTCTTTTCTATTCTACTGTCTCCTGAGATTGCAATGTCAATGATCCAAACCCTGTTTTTATCATCATCATCATCTATGAAATGAACTATTACAAAGACAAAGGTCACTAAAATAATTTCCTGAGAACTGTTCTCTACCAGCAAATAACTTTTTTGAACTGTTTCTGCTGAAACGTCTTAGTAAGCAGAATGAAATTTAACACTATATATTAGTTGAAACACAGTGATCAAATAAGAGTGTTGTGCATTTAATAATCTTCTGGACTACCTAAGTTACTGATAACACCCTTAGATACCTGAACCAATGGAACTGTCTGGCTGTAAGTCAGCCTACTAAATATGTTAAAAGGTAGACTCTGTCAATATTCTGTCAATAAGGTCATTCTCTTTTGAAGAATTCCACCCCCCCACCAGACCAGACAAATAATGTACTGAAATACCATCAGGCTGCCAAAATTGAATTTATAATTCCAGCACCACAATAATGTATTTTCCCCATAGTTTGTTTCAGCCACTATAAAGGAAGTGCTTCAAATTTAACTAATTACACCAACTGAAAACTGATCTTATGCAGAAGAGACTGTTCCCCTTAAGCACAGTAAAAACATCAGAGGAACATTGTATAGAGAAAAATGGTACGTTGTGGTTTATATCACCCAGCACCATACAGTCTGCATGAGCATCATTTATTGGGAAATAGAAATTAAAAAAAAAATTCCATGGCTTAACTCTGATTCTCAGCAACCATCATAGAATAATCATTAGCATGGTGTAAAGCTTGACCAAGGTGGTCTCTTCCCTGACCCTCCACCTGACAGACTTGACCCACATGACTTTTGAATAAAATAAGTTCAGCACCCTTGGGGGAAACAGAAAAAGAGCAGTAACTTTTTATTTACACCCAGGGATAGGGAAATAAGATGGTTCAGAAAAGAAGATAGAAACTATTTAGAGGTATAGATTCAGGTGGGTAGCCATGTTGGCCTGAAGCCACAGAACAAAGTTCGATGGAGTGTGATAGCAGAATTACTCTCCGCATTCCACAGTTAAGAAGGGTACATCTGCCCATCAAACTCCAATGTTGAGATCTTTCTTTCTTTCACTATGTTCCCCCTGGAATTAAACCCAAACAAATGCTGACCATATAAACGAAGTGTTATTCCAGTTTGCTCCTTGCATCTGCTAAACACCTTTATTATGTATGCTAATTTGCTGCTCACTCTCTACCTATATGTATGGACTGGTAACTTCCATTTCAGTGTATCTGAGGAAGTGTGCATGCTCACAAAAGTTAATACCTTGAATAAAACTTTGTTGGACTTAAAGGTGCTACTGGACTCGAACTTTATTTAGAGGTACAACACAGTCTTGCTGAGCACATTCATTTTAAGTTACAATTGATAATTTAGGACAGCGGTGTCGAACGCATTTATCAGGAGGGCCAGATCTGACATAAATGAGACTTTGTTGGGCCGGGCCATGTGTGTCATAAAAGGTAATGCCAGCTAGCAGAGATATAAACTTTATAAAGGACACAGACAAACACAATTAAAGATTTTTTAAAACTTTAAATAACACATTTCCAGTGAGTTCGACACCCCTGATTTAGGAGAATAGAGAACAGTGAGAAGCCAGGTTTGCATTCTTGAGGCGAATATTAGTCTCCCCTCAGTCTCGGGATTCTCACAGTGTAAATATAAGCTCCTCTCAGAGAACGCAAATCCTTCACTAGTTTTCCTCAGAAACTGAGGCTTCGAGAGAGCTACAGTCTCTTCCTCAAGATAGTTTGCTTTATCACAAAAGACAGGTTCCAAAGTCTCCCAAAACAGGAGCCTAACATTCTGGAGACACAAATTCTACCTCCACAAATTCACTGGTTTCTCTGACAGTTCAAGAAACCTTTGTTGGCATTAAAGGTGCCACTGGACTCTAAAGTGGTTTAAGACTATCTGCCTGAGCTGACCAAATGTTAACAACTTTTCTCTCTCTCACTCCCTCCTCCCATGTAGCTCCTCCTGCCCTTCCAAGGATCCTGACTGGCTGCTAGCTCTTTGCTCATGCACCAAACAGGACTGAAGGGGATTGGTGCTTTTGAGAAAGGGGCAAGACCTTGGGCTGTCTGTCGTCCACCCCACCCCCCGCTCAGTATATCATGACTGAAGATTTCTTAGTTTGGGAATCCTTGATTCAAATGACAATTTGCCATAAGGTCTGTTAGTGTTTGGCTAAATTGGAGTTAGTTTCCTTCCCAGAAACTGGCACACTAAACCTAATTTGTTATCTAATTTTAGAATCTTAGTTTGTGGGGAAGAAATACACACAGTTGCCTGCATCAAATGTAATGGTGAACCGGCACCTGAAGTCAAGGCTTCCCAAATCAGAGAAACTGTGCTGAGTCTGGCAGATCACAAGGTGGGCTTAGCCTATGCCATACAGAGACTACTGTTCTACTCTAGTTGTGATATGGTACATAATATAATGTCAAGCTCGAGCCTCGCTTGTCATTTGATGTTGTCTACCTACGCTTGGACTCTGTGGCCTCGGGGGTTAATTGTTTTCTCAGAAGAACTCAGTCCTCTGTTTTCATCTACATACTGTTTATCTTTCTGGCCAGAAAGGGGTGTGTGTGAAGTTGAGTGTGTGAGTATCGGCTTATGTAGTGCAAGCTGAGAGTAGTCTACGAGGCCCTGGGAAACGTATTATCTCAGTACCCCACCTGACCTTGGGGCAGGGAATGTCCAGATAATGCAACGGTTAGTGGCAGGTGCAGGGGGCAGCCTTTTGAGCAAGTTTGGATCCTTGGCGGGCTGAGTGAGAATATTGATTGGGTAGTGTGACTTAGGGGGGATGTCTTGTATGTAGTATAGGGTTGGTCCTGGCATCTGGGTGTCAGTTCTGACACAGAATCTGTCCATGCTTGGAACTTTTTCACTTTTCAATAAAGAAATCTTGCTAATACAAGGGTGTGGTGAGAGTGACTGCGTCCGAGACCTGACATAAGTAAGAGGTTATCAGTTATGCTATGTAGGTATTTTCTCCAGGTCTGGCAGCTCACTGAGTTTAGCTTACTGAGTTACATTGAAAGGGTAGCTGCTAATTCCTATAGCTGGCTCTTAAATCATATCAGCAATGTCTGAAATTCTACACTGAGCTGCTCATGTAAATTGCATTGGAATGTTAAATGCTTCTCTCACTAATCCTGATGTCACATTCAGCACCACAGGGCGCCCAGCTGGGATGTGACTAGACATTTTATTTAGGTCATTTTTTTTCAATTACTAGCAATATTATTCATGAAATGGTTTAAAGGTGTTTGATTTTTTATTTTATTTTTTGCTATTTCCATTGTTTTCTATGGAAAACACATTTTGTTTTGTGTTGTTGTTTTCTACCCAGTTGTTTTTGTGTTGTTGTTTTCTACCCAGCTGGGATGAAATTCTCAAGTATTGCAGAATTGTAAAGAAATGTTCAGGCGGAGGTTATCCTTGCCAATTTTTATGCAGAGCAGAAAAAGCATCCCTGTTTTAAAGGCAACTAAAATAAATGCTCACTTGCACAGTGGGCAGAAGGAACAGGCCTTTGAAAAGTTTTGCTCCCTTTCTTGGGATCCTCAGAACGATCAGGGTGTGTGATGGGGGTGTCTATTTTTAACTAAAAACAAAGTGCAAGGAAGGAGAGATAAACCCTCTACCCCATCTTAACCTGTTTAGTGGCTTCGAAAATTCATTTCAGATTTTTTCACTCAGTTCGGCTGATTTCTAGTATTAGAGTCTGTCTGAAAGAAAAACCCTTTGAATGTTGGTATAAATGAATGGTGAATAAAGCTTGCCTGTGTTTTCACTACCAAACCTATCAACAGCTGAAAGTGGATGATGGGATTGCTGGCCCTCTTACTACAGGAGAAACACAGAGCAAACAGTGATATGTCAGACTATGGTCAGATCCATGTGTTTCATTATTGTAATTGGACTAATTAAACGTTAGAGCAAATGTAGTGTCCAGTGGCACCTTTAAGAACAACAAAATTTTATTCAAGGTTTTAGCTTTTGTGTGCATGCACACTTTTTCAAATATATTGGAATGGTAGGAAAGGTTCAAATTTACAGACAGGGGCTGAACAGCAAATTAACATGTAACATGATGAAGATGCACAAAGACAAATGTACAAAGATGTGCAAAGACCTTACCTACCATTCCAATGTATTTGAAAAAGTGTGCATGCACACAAAAGCTCATACCTCGAATGAAACTTTGTTGGTCTTAAAGGTGCCACTGGACTCTAAATTTGCTCTACTGCTTCAGAACAACATGTCTGACCACCTGGTTCTATGTTAAACACTGGCTGTGATTCAGTCAGATCTTGGTTAGTTATTATCTTAATGTACATCTCTAGTACTTTAGTCCATTATTTTGGGTACCTTGTTATACAGAATGTCAGATTTTACTTTTATGTCTGGAGCTGCCAACTATGAGTTGGGAAATCCCTGGAGATTTGGAGGTACAGCTGGGGAAGGGGGGGTTGGCGGAGGAACCTCAGTCAGGCCTAATGCCATAGAATCCATCCTCCAAAAATTGCCATTTTCACCAGGGGAACTGACCTCTGTAATCTGGAGGATTCCAGGAGATCTCCAGGGCACACTGGGAGGTTAGCAACCTTATTTATGACATGGGAGCTAACCCTGGAGGGCTTAAAACCATGCTCCAGGATGAGTTCCATGTTCCATCGTGTACCATATAAAAGCAGTTTTAAATCACTCCAGATGGCTACTCCATGTCTTCAGGGGTTGGAATGGATTGTTTTTCCTGATTTGTTCTCAAAGGGCAGTATATACACAACTGTGCTCAGGGAAAACATGAACATAATCAAAGATTACATTCAGTGAAGCACTGACACACTGAAGTTTAAGGGCCAATCTGAATGATCTCCCTGATCAGGGAACATATTTGGTCTTTAACCTAAGACGTTTGGCGAGCAGGCCATTTCCCACCCAGAAGAGAAGAGAATGAAGCTTTCCATGCAAGAGCAGGACCCAAAGATTCTGCTTGTGTTGAATTAAAGAACCTGTACACTCTGGGCTTGTTAAACCACATAAATAATAAGTGACTGCCAATGTTCCCTCTAAGCTGTGGAGTCTTGTGAGCAAAATTTCTGCTTTGTGAGCTACTGGCATTAAAGTTGTGAGTGAGCAATTTGGCTACTGCATAAATTAGTTTGCTCTGGAGCCATCCTTCCTGAGCTTAGACAAAAATCTGTGAGCTGGAGGCTAAAAAACTGTGAGCTAGCTCACACTAACTCAGCTTAGAGGGAACACTGGTGACTGCAGAGCTGTTGTAGTCAGGTAGTTAATTTTCTTATCCACTTCTGATTTGTGTGTATGTGCAATGGGAAGGGTTTGTGGCAGGGAGGCATGTGAGCCCTGTTGCACAACACCTTTGATCACATCTACCCACCTATGGTACCTTTTACAATTGCATCAAGATATACTCATTCAAATATTAAGTTTTCTTACATGCACTCACACAAAGATTAAAGATGATTCATTATTCAGCAGCAGGGAGCAACTTATAAATCACATGGAAAGCAGCATTAAATCACAGCAGTTACCTAAGAATTTTATTGATTGCAGTCTCCTTATCCAAAAGATTTCTTGCTCTAATGCTGAAAACAGACTTCCGGAGCTGTGAAACAAAATGAAGAAGCTTTAATGTTGTACATCCTGACCAACTCTGAGAAACTAAAGTGTTTAGATCATCTAGACAAACGTGAAAAAGATTCTTTCCATCACAAATTCAACCCCCCCATTATTGTTATGGAGCAATAAAACTGCTTTTTACACTGAATGCATCTTGGTTTCCTTTTGGTGGGTGTATGCAGAGAGAGTATTGTTAGGTGCGGCTATCACATTATCAGCCCTGATCTGGATAGCCCAGGCTAACTTGATCTTGTTAGATCTCAGAAGCTAAGCAGGGTCGGCCTTGGCTACTATTTGGATGGGTGACCTCCAAGGAATACCTGGGTTGTGACATAGAAGCCGGCAATGGCAAACCACCTCTGAAATATCTGTTGCCTTAAAAAAACAAGTCTAGCTCACCACTTAGTGGTGCACAACACCAAAAGAGATAGAACTTCTAGCTACCAGACAGTCTTAGGATCTTCTGGCTATACTACACACACTGCCATACGATAATTAATTAATCACATTATCAAAGCTCAACTGGATTTAGACTGCCAATATAGTGCGAGCCTTTGGAACTGCAGAAAGTCCAAAGGTTGTTAATTATCAGGTCCAAAGGTTAGGAGGGGCTGTGGTAGAGCATCTGTTTTACATACAGAAGGTCCCATGTTCAATCCCCTGCATCTCCAGTTAGAAGGATCAGGTAGCAGGTGATGTTTAAGGCCTCCACCTGAGACCCTGAAGAGTTGCTGCCAGACTAAGTAGACAACATTGACCTTGGTGGAAGAACGGTCTGATCCAGCATGAGGCAGCTTCATGTAGTCATGTGCTCACTCATACTTTGCAACAATGCCACCAGAGTCACAGCACATTTTCAAATACAAATGTAACACTGAAAAAAAGGAGGGTGCCCCACTGGATCCAGAAACTGTCAGTTCACACAAGCATGCATCCCTCAACTTGCAGCTGCTGGATTACCTTGGGCAAGCCATAGTTCTGTCAGAGGTGTTCTTGAAGAAGAGCAGTTTCTGTCAGAGCTCTCTCAGCCCCACCTACCTCACAGGCTGTCTGTTGTGGGGAGGGGAAGGGAAAGGAGTTTGTAAGCCGCTCTGAGACTTCGAGTGAAGGGCAGGGTAGAAATCCAATCTCCTCCTCCTTCTTTAATACTTGAGTTATAAATGGTATCGGTAGAGAAATATGGTGCATTTTTTATAAAAACATGGGTTGGATCCAGCACAAAAATTCCACCAGTGGTACAGCCCTTGTGAGAAAAAGACTGTGGTAGCTGCTTGCATTAAGTAAAGCTTATTGTATTCCCACTTGAGCTTGCACAAGATCTTAGGGAACCAAGTTCTGGGCATATAATATATAGTAAGTGCTAAGTGCTGCACAAGATCTTGTGCAAGAGGAACTGCACTAAGTCCGTTTACGTTTCAGCTTGTACATTTGCTGGATTCAAGCCAATAACTGATTTGTATTTTATTGACTCAATTTAGACACCATGTTAGCCATTTTCCACATCTGGCTTGGAGAACCAGGATAGGCCACAGGGTTGTGCTCCCTTCTCCTTTTCCCAGTTCCTCTTCACTTCTTGCATACCAGTGCCTTCCTCCCTTTCTTGATTTGCTTAACCACAGTATTTTGAAACATACAAACCAGGTTACCACAGCTTGCCTCCAGACCATAATCTGAAACCATGGTTTGAAAGTAGGTTTTGCAAACCATGGTTTGGAGGCAATCTTGGTTCATGCTAACTATGATTTGGGCATCAGAGTACAATATTATGAGGCAAACCAGGAAAGGGAGGAAGGAATTGGCTTGTTAGAACAGAGGAGGGACCATAAGGGTCTGTGGCTCATTCCTCATTCGCCAAACAATGATTTAGAGGATTATGAATGTGATGTCTGAACTGAGCTATGTTATTAACTCCTTCCATCTTCCCAGTGCCTACTTGTTTAGATATTTTTGAGCTTTCAGCTTTTTAAATGTCTATATTCTAATCAATGACTGTTTTCCCCCCATTTGCTCAGTCATTCCCTGCTGTCATAAATTATGCAAATACTCCCTACACAGACATTCTAACAATATGACTCAGATAATAACTAGTTTAGAAATTCTGAAATATAATCAGCAACTTTGGTTATTAACTGCAACTCGCAGAGCCTTCTGTTGCCACGAAGGACAGTGAGAAAGAACCTTTTGCATTAAAAGCTTATTCTCCTGACTTCCCTTCGTCTGCCAACAAGTTGGGGAATCAGAGATATCTTCAGACTGGGAGACAGTAGTGTTCCCAGCCTGTTTGGCGCCCGAGGTGGATAATTTTTTAACACCCCCCTCCTCTATTTATTTATTTTTGTGATGTTAAGGGCCCCTCCTCTATACAACAAAATTATTTTCAGTAATAATCATGAAATAAAACAAATAATAATAATAACAATGGCCAGAAAATACATTCAGGTGGTTAGCTAAGTTGGTCAGAAGCAACAGAACACAGTTTGGTTTTAAAGGTGCCACTGGACCCAATCTTTGTTTCAATGGCCAGAAAAGTAACGCAGACAGTGAAAATGTTCTTTTGTGTAACTTTGCATATGCAATCATGCCTGTAAAAAAGATTCAAATTCCAACATGCCATTCCATCATGACAGCCAGGTTAAAGTGTTGGTATTGGTTAAAGTGTTGGACTAGGATTTGGGAAATTTATTTATTTATTTTTATTTATCCTTCGGCTTCTATCCCGCTCACCCCCTAGGGGCTCTGAGCGGCTTACAATTCTAAATCTAGGTTTAAATCCCCACTTGTGCCATGGAAACTTGCTAGGTGACCTTAGGTCAGTCTCGTTACTCCCAGCCTAGCCCTGACCTGGATAGTTCCAGGATAGCCTGATCTTGTCAAATCTCAGAAACTAAGCAGGGTTGAAGTGGAGACAGGCAATGGCAAGCCACCTCTGAACGTCTCTTGCCTTGAAAACCCTACAGGATTGCCAAATGTCAGCTGAGACTTGACAGCAATTAAAAACAAACAAACCATCACACCACTTGTGTTCTGGGCAGGCACTTGGGAGGTCTTCTGTTTTCCATTTTGAAGCCCAAGAGCTGACCATCCCAAACATCTACGGGGTATTTTTGAGAATTAGGAATCTGCCTTTGTACTAACGTTCGAAGCCTAACATTAGCCAAAGCATCACAAAATGGTGATTGCAAGCTTCACCAGACTGGATGCTAAGAAACACACTACCCCCCAAAGAAGGTGCCCCCATCCTCCATTGTTTCCAGGGACCAAACTCAAACCGGAGAATCTCTGCAGTAGAACCTGAAGGAGGGGCCCTTTTTTGCAAGCTCAGCAGAACCAGTGCAATGTACCATGTCCACCAAACCCAGTGTCATTGTGGCAATGCCAGTTGAAGTCAAGCACAGAATCACAGTCCAAGTGGGAGGGGGGTGGAAGCCCAGCAGAACCATTGCAATGTACAGTGCCCAGCAAACTCAGGGCATTTTGTACATAATATTAACAAAGGTTTGCTACTATTCTGTCACCAAGCAGGATAGGGATGAGAAGGTCTTGAGACCAAGAAGTGAAAATAAAGGTGGGGGCGGGGAGAAGACAAAGAAAAATTAGGTGATGGGAGACAGAAATGAATGAGAAATGTGTGGGAAAGAGGGAGAGAAATTTAAGAGAGGGAAGGGTTGTTTTATCTTGTTGCAACCCCCTAACTACTGCTGAGCTGCGTGCAAGGAAAGAAAGAGAGAAAGGCTAGACTATTGGAGAAAATAACCTGCAGTAGCAGCTATCAGCACGCTGGCTTGGTTGTACGATCTGTTAAGCAAGTTTGCTTCAGTCTTGGAGAAAGGGAAGTCTATCTGATCCTAGAATGCTTTTTGCTATGCTTAGACTTCCCTGTGCGCCTAGTGGCTGCATCCAGAACTGCATTTTAAAAATAAAAGGAAAGATGTTGGGCTGGATGCAGCATGACACTGGCTTCAAGGGCCCTCGTTCAAGGGCCTTCCTCAAGCTGCACCCAGGGCGGAGCACACCCCTGCCCCTCCCTTGGTATGCCACTGCTGGGAGATTGTGGTTTTCACATTGCATTAATAAAAATTTGTGCTTTGGTATTTCAGCAGTTTCAAAAATTTCTGCTCTGATATGTACAAGGATTTGAAGTTCCATAGAGGCCTTGCTCAAAGCTTTGGACCAAAAGTTTCATGGAAATGTTTAAGTGAAAAATATTACTATATTGTGACTACCCATAACTATGTTTTTGTGTATCCTTCTAGATGGCTTAATGGTATTAATTTTGGAGAGTTGTTGTGAAAGAACGATTTCACCAATATTATCTGAAAACCCAGTAAATACACACAAAGACACATTCCTTGAAATGTTCCACAGCAATGATTTCTGAAAGCCTCCTTCATAAAAAACTGTAATTGTAAAGGCTTTTATTGTACAAAATTTGATTCCCCTCCGCCCATCATTTTTATTTTGACACACAATGAAGCCAATTCTATGGCTGCAAAGTGCTTCAAAAATCTGATTAGGAGGAGGGTAAAGCTGCCAAAGTTACCAGGACTGTACCATAGCTTAAAGGAAAGCAGATGGCTTCAATAAAAAGAACACACATCTGCTTTATGGATGACAAACCGACATATCTGACAACAACCCAGATGTTGCTGATGACAGAAAATTAATGAAAGTCCATATCTGAGACCAGCCTTGCTGAAAATTATAACATCATGGGGGGAACCTCCCCCCTGGAAGATAGAGCTTCTGTGGATACACTAGCAGAACAGTCCTAAGTAGAGTTGCACAACTGAATTAAATTTTGGTGTAAAATAGTGAGAAGGAGAAATCTACTCTGCACAGACATGCATTTGGTTTTTGAAGGTACTAATTCCAAATTTGTGTTAGAAAGAGGATGTGGGGGGGGGATACATTGAAATGGGAAGTTGCTATGGTAATTGTAACTATAGAAAGCCAGAATCTGCCTAATAAAAATGCAATCTGATGTTCCAGCCAAAGCACTAAACTGCTCGTTGAATACACGAAGCTATCTTACACTGACTCTGACCATTGCTATGCATAGCCTAGAACTATTTGCCCTGAATGGTAGTCATTTTCTGGAGTAACAAGGCAAAAATTTCCAAATCAGTTATTTGAGACATGGCCAGCTGCATGTTTTAGGGGCCCGTGGGCAAAGAAAGGTCATGGGCACCTCCACTGCTGTTCCCTTGTCTTCACCACCTCAAATTTGGCCCTCCCTTCATAGCTTATTTTCTTCCTGTTGCAGCTCCTTTTTCCCTCCCAAACTCAGCCAACTTCCCTCTTCCCCAATTGTGATTCTCTTCTCTTCTGGACTGTAGCTAGCAGAACATGACTATCTTATCTTATTTTGTCTGACAAAGCATGTGCGCACGGGAAAGCTCACACCTTGAATAAAACTTTGTTGGTGTTCAAGGTGTCACCTGGACTCTAACTTTGTTCTATCTTATCGTCTAGTGATACTGGGCCAAAAAGGAACACGAAGGGGTCTGTTCTTTCAATACACTTTCCAGGAGGAATTGAGAGAATGCATCAGAAGCTTCTGTGATGCCACAGATGCCTCTGGAGTGATTGCCAATTTCTGGCAGAACGGGTGCCTGGAGAAAGCAGCAGAGGATGCAACTCTCCTGTCTGTTGATTCCTCCATTGCAGCATAGCACATTTCCCACTAGAATGGAACCTTTTAATTGAAGATAATGGGGACTGAACCAGGGCATGAATTGGGAAAATGCAGCTCAGTTTGTGGCCAAACCATGAACTGAACCAGGAGGTTTGTTTGTGAATTGAACAGGTTCATGGTTTGTGGCCCTGCAAACCCCACTGAAAGGTGCCACAGTCCCTTTAAACGGGGTTTGCAGAAAACCCCCCCAAAAAACGCAGTTGATAAATGGGGAGCAGCTTGATCTCTGCAGCTCGGCTGTTTTTGCAGCTTTTGTAGGAAGAGAAAGCATGGGTTTAAATGGATTCAGAATCTCTTTAAAACCCTGCTCTCTGCTCCATCCACGAACTGCTTTAAAGGTTCATGGACGTTCGTGACGGTAGACCAGTCACAAACTTTTGTTCACAATGGTAGACCCGTCACAAACGTTGTTTGAAAACAGGGCAAAAGTCATGATGAATTTTGCTTTGTGATTCGATTCGTGCCCCTCCCTAAATAGAACATTCTGTGTGCAAGACATGAATTCTATTACTAGAACATTCTGTATGCAAGACATGAATTCTATTACTATGTGATGGGCTTTTCCCACAGCATATAAAAAGGTTCCATGTGCTTGCACAATCTGATATCATGCTAAGTGTGGAGAATGTAGAGGAAACACAACTACATATTTAACTATTATTACCTTCTGGTCAATATATTTGTTTTCTTCAATAGCCAGCCTTTTAGAGTGGTCACAGGAGGAAGAAGATGCTGATGGAAGCCTTCTTAATAAGCAAGTTGTGTCCTGTTGCTGTCGATCGATAAACTGCTTCATAAAGCTTTCCCTTTTAATTAGAGAGAGAGAGAGCACAAATCATACTTTGATTGTTAGTGATTAAAATAATCCTAAGTAGTCCTTGTTTGGAATGTGTCATAATTGCTCACTGCTAAAGGACAAAAGATAAAATGGAAAACTGAAAACTATACATGACACATTATACAAAGCAAATTTGGATTTAATCACCAAAATAACATGATGTTTTGATTCAGCTAAGCTACAGTCCAGAAACAAGTTATTTTCTTCTTTAATTATATTTTCCTTTAATGATTTGCTTGCAGTAGGCCTCAGCTTCAATCCCTGCTACTTCCAGTTAAAGAATCTCAGGAAGCAGGTATTGCATAAAACCATTCTCTATCTAAGACCTCAGAGAGCTGGTGCCAGCCAAATTAAACAATACTGAGCTAGATGACCTGTTTTATATCTTATGACCAGAAGAACAGAACTGTAACAATACAAGAGCAATCAAGCTTTCTCAGATATCACTACATCTAACAGTAAAGTGAATGGACTAATGAGGTATAAATATGCTCCAAGATGGATGGAATGTTTAGAGTAGCTGAATGTCAATTCAAGAAAACAAGTGAGGAGAAATCAGTCTGCTCAAGCCCCTGAAAGCTTATGAAATCTTAGAAGAAGTGATTTTGAGAGGCAATGTGATTGGCAAATTGTTTTCTCCCCCTCATGATTCTTCAAAGTCCCCAAGCTTGTTGTAACTACATGAAATCCCCTCACTTAGTCTTGTAACACATTTTTCAGGGTTCCTGATTGCAGAGGCAGGGGGCAGAGCCTGTCATCACAGTCCCACTCCCCTACCACGTAAATGTTCATTGTCCCCCAACATATTGTCTTGAAAGAGTTAGTGAGGTGAAGCAAAATAGTACGTTTTCCTTTGTGACAAAGCAATCTTCTGTTTCACCCTAGGAAGAATTTTCTGGGAACACACCTCAAAATTGTATAGTTTTTAACTGTCATTGGTCTCTACCATAAAAGCCTTGGGATTTTAGTGTGCTGAATATATGTCTTAAAAGCACACAACACAACTAAGCATACACATTTGGTCAGCACATGTGTTAGAGGCCTCCTGGGAACCCACACACGTTGCCTGAACAACCCTGTGGAAGAAATGAGAGATATAAATTCTTTTAAAAATATGTTAATGAAAGTGCTGAGAAGTCTATCAGAAAGGCATAGCTGAATCCACTCACAGAACTATTGCTCCCAGATTTCCCTGGAGAAAAAGAATGACCATTAAACCAGTCTGATCTTATATATGTATGTTTACTTGTAAATGAGCCTCCCTGATGACAACATATATTACTTCTAAGTAAGCACACACAAGATCAGGCTGTACGTTTCTGAAATGGGCAAGCAGACTTTTAATTCATGGTATTCTTCCACCGCACTTTCAGAAGACTGACCAATCTCTGATAGCACTGTGGTTACTTCTCCCTAGGGTTAGTATTTTGTGATAGATAATTATCACTGCAGTTGGTGAAGGCAGAGCATGAGGTCCAGACCCTATGAACAAAGTGAAATAGAGGACAAGGGGGAGGAAATGGTCATGTGATTAAAGTGACATGAAAAGATATGGCTAGAGTGGAACTGTGTTGTAGCAGGTTGCAAGCTGAAGCAGTTGTGTGGTTGCTGCTGCCCCATACCACCCTCAAAGCTTGACATATACTGGCTGTGTGTCAAATGATAACATTAATCTTAATACTAATACAGGAAATGTATCTGGGCCTGTGTTGCGGCAATGACAGGACCCACCCTGTGCTCTCACAGGAACCCACTTCTAGACATACACAATGGCTTGTATGAATTGACCCACAGTCGTGCTGCTTTGGGGGGGAGAGGTTTCCACTGATATTCCAACTAAAAAAAAATCTAGCCAATAAAAGACAGCTAATTCTTTAAACGAGAAAGGCCGGAATGCAATAATAATGGTTCCACTACCAAAGAGGCTGAGGATCAAGGCATGGGGGGGTGGGGGTGGAGGAAAGGATATGACACAAAATCAAAGACACAGTGAAGAAAGAATAATTAGGAAAACCTTAAGCCTATCTTAAAATGTTGTTTATATTGACTCAATAGGTTACAAAGAGAGTTGAGAAGGTATATTACCTTATTTTGGGGACTGTGAAATCCGAAGGAAGCTTGGAGATTTTTACCATTTGAGGTCTGTTAGGGAATTTTTCAAAGATCCGTAGACGTAATGGAAGCTTCTCTTTTGTATCTGCATTTGCTTCACTTTGTTTCAGCTAAAATAAAAGGGGGGGGGGAAGCCAGGTAGCAAGTTCGATTGTTTTCAGAAATCAGGGACCAGCAAGAGCAATCAATTGATGAAACACAAGATGGCAGCAAAGAACTACAGAGCATATTGACATGGTTCAGACATTTTTTTTACAACTTCCAATACAACAGAAACTACATTTCTTGAAAGATTTAAAATGCAAAGAATGTTATAGTAAATATTTGTTATTTCCTTTGTGTGTTTCTTCACAGTTCTCTAACACTCTGCTAGGAAAATAAATATTACTTCTTCCTCTTATTAGGCTCATCTGCTGTAGATAAATGGAACATTCCACACATCACATACTAAGGAGAGGATTTTGTATGCCAGGATGGAACTGAATACGTAAATCTCAACACAAATCAAATAAAATTAGGTCTGGACACTGTGATGAAGGAGCTAGTCTACAAAAACAGTTCCCTATCTTCTGGGAGTTCGAAAAATTCTTCACATACTAAGCAAGCTAGCTTTGGAAGTTCCACCTGCTTCCTCAGGAAGAGTCACTCCCTGCAGGGATATTTGGAGGCAACATAGCTGGCTCAATAGTTCACCCTCTGCCAGATGAGGACAAGGAATTCGCTAGAACAGCTAAGCCCGGAGGACTCTCAAAGGAAAAGAAAGAGCTGGAAGAAAACCTGACACAATACAGTTATGTCCAGAAGAGGGTTACAAGAGAAGACTTCTTCAGAAATTAATAAATTAATGTCCACCAAATTCTCCACGCACTCTTCACAAACAAATTAACATATTGTAATGGGAATGTGTGTTGTGTCAAGTGAAGACAGAGCTATTTGTCAGGCTTTTTTGAACATTTAGTCATTACAGATGATCTTCAATGAGTGCTGATGGCAAGAAGTTTTCTTGAATGAGCAATAATGGCTGGTGGCTACCAGCTACTGACATATTCCACCCGTTGGAACAGGGCTAGAAAGAAACAGTGCAATAGACACACAACTTAATCAGTGAAGGGGACACAAATCTGAATATATTCACAGCTGGTCAGGATAGGTGGCCTTGTCTTGATAGGAACGGATACTGACTTGCATGGTGAGCCATGTTTGATTCCCCACTCCTCCACATGAAGCCAGCTGGGTGACCTTGGGTCAGTCACAGCTCTCAGAGCTCTCTCAGCCCCACCTACCACACAGGGTGTCTGTTGTGGGGAGAGGAAGGGAAGGTGATTGTAAGCTGCTTAGAGACTCCTTCAGGTCATGAAAGGCAGGGTATAAAACCAACTCTTCTTCTTCTTGTTCTCTTGGCACTCCCCTACGTTCAACAGGGGTTTTCATAAACAAAAAAGGTCTCACAAAACCAGCAGAAGCTTCCAAGCACGCTTTCCTCAGAAGGAAACTGACCCTATAAAAGACTGCCCCATCAAACTTCCAACTGCTGAGGGAAGGGAGGAGCTAAGAAACAATGTAATTAGATTTCAGCACAGTTCCAGGGGCATCTGGATGGAGGACATCTAATCACAGATAAGGAGGAGGGTATCTGAAGGACCAGCGCTGGCTTCTGGCTCCCCAGACTCCCGTGTAGAAGGATAACAGCCTCACAATAGTTATCACAGATGCAAACGAAGTGCCACGCGCATTTGAGTTTGAGTATAAACAAAGGGCACAGATTAATGATAGGATAGGATAGTGAGCTGAGGGGAAGAGAGGCCTTAAAGGGCATTGCAAGGGCCACAGTTATATTCAACCTTATCTTTTCTAATGAATTTAGATCACAAAAGCAGTACACTAATAAGAACCGGCTTGATAAGAAATTGAGATATGCTGCCAATGCTGACGAGAATCAAGCCCAAAACAACATTTTGCAGATCAGGGGGGAAACAATGTGCCAGAAGAGTCTTCATCAAAACTGCAAACTAATATTATTTGCTGGCGAGATGGGTGGAGGGAAGCATCTGGTATCTGTTGAAGGAGGAACAGAAAAACTTGAAAGGAGTTATGCAAAACCCCAGCAGTTGCATTTTAATATGGCTGAGAATGAAAAACAAAACAAAACCCCCCAACAACGATGACTTAACAAAAATATGTTATCAAAAGCAAGTGTGGATAGCTAAAAGAGATCATTGTTCTGTTTTTAATACTCATATTAGGGTAGCAGCCCCAAGCTCTTTTCTGAAGCCTTCTCCAACGTCTCAGGAGCACTCAGCAATAAGAGGACGGGAGATATGGGATGCTGTAGGGGGTCCCGTGGAGCAATTCACAATGGCTGCAACTGGCATATCACACTGAATTCTGGATGCCACCTTATGATCAAAGTACCGAAACATGAGATTACGTGCACAGAAGAGCTATGAATGTAAATCAGGTGCTACAAAGACTGAGTATGGGGGAAGGGAACAGAAGATTAAAACTGGCATAATTTCAAGAGGATGATGTGCAGACTGGACACATATTTGAAGAGGAACTTTTAAATGCCGACTAAAAGATGCCTTCTGAACTAAGAAGAGAGGGAGCCTCAGACAAATATTCAATATGTTATGGATAAGAATGAAGCAAGGGACTCACTGGGGCTTTTTATATTGCCCATTACATATATTTTCTGATTGACGGTTTCTGGTGCACCCAGTAAGACAATGGCTCCTATTCAACATTCCTTTGGAAATGTCAGGGAGAGGTCAGCAAATGCATCTGCAATTACTTGGAGCTGTCCCTGACACTGCAGTGAATGGGGAAGCTGATTCTTCCTAGAGAACCCACAATGGTGCCATACTCTTCATTTTGGAGGGCATGGAGTAGTATGTATGTCTAAAGTGTAACAAATAACAGCTCTGCAGGTCTGCATTTCATAAGCATGTTATTACAGTCTTTCAATATGTTCTTTAGTAGTGGGCTTCAGCTCATAGTTTGGGATCTTCAGGTTGGTTGTGGACTCTACCAGTTCAGGGGTGGATTGGCCATCATGACCACGGGGACTTCTCATGGTGGGCTGACCCCCCTGCCAGTCCAGTCCAGTCCAGCCCTGCCCTACCCACCTATTCATATCACACTTTTTATGTACTGAGTGGTGGGAATCTTTGCCACTTGATAAAAATCAGTGTATATGAGCATGCATACAAGGGTCAAAAATTTCCGAGAGCACTTTAACTGTATTATCACCATCTTGTGATTTATGTATGGATTTGGATTTTAAACTTTTATTATGTTTTAATCTTCTAAATTGTTATACGTATGTTTTGTGAGCCGCCCAGAGCCCACTTATGGGGTAGGGCGGGATACAAATCAAATCAATCAATCAATAAAAAGGTCCATGCAACAGAAGATGCACATGGCCCACCCATGGCCTGTGTGGCCAGAGGAAGTGGTGCCCAGTCTGTGTATCCTAGGGCAGGTAGAGCCCAGTACACCTGAGGCCTGCACAGGTGGGGCTCCTGGTACACCTGAACCGCATGAGAGCTTGGAAAGAAGTACCTGGCTGGGCAGGCAGGCTATCTCTCAATCCTTTAAGGAACAGCCAGGGGGCAGGGCCCTTTTGTAGGGCGGTTTCCCTGTCCCAGTCCATCCCTATACCTACTGGTTAGAAGAACTTACAGAGCTCTCATTTTTTGGGGTGATTTTTGGAAGAACCAGCAGGTAATGTAACACATGCAGAGAGCAAGGGCTCTGTAACACATGCAAAGAACAAGTGCTCCACAACTCCTGTCTTTGTAGTTAAGAAGAAGAAGAAGAGTTGGATTTATACCCCACCCTTCACTTGGAGCATCAGAGTGGCTTACAATCACCTTCACTTCCTCTCCCCACAATAGACACCCTATGAGGTAGGTGGGGCTGAGAGAGCTCTGAGGGAACTTCTCTTGAGAGAACAGCTCTGAGAGAACTGAGACTGACCCAAGATCACCCAGCTGGTTGCATGTGGAGGAGTGGGGAATCAAACCCAGTTCTCCAGATTAGAGAACCTCTTAAACTGCGGACAGCATTCTCACATGGTTGCGAACTTTGGCTTCTTCACTACTGTACATCTCTTGGTACCTGGCTTGTGTTTACTGTCAGCAGCATTCAACACTGCCCATATTCTTAGCCTCAGCACTGGTGGGGTCATAACTCTTATCTCCTTCTTCCTGCCCTGTGTTTTCCACCATCTGTTTGCAATTCAGTGTGTGTCATTCTGCCCCTTGAGGATTAAAGGTGGGTCCCAGTTATGGAAAGACTGAAATACTTTAGTATTTAAGCACCATTTTTGTGCATGTTTTCCTCTACTGAATACTCATTTCATCAAATATCTCATTATAAAATAAACCAGCCAGGAATGTGAAACATTAACATTCATTATGGATATTTTTTTTTACATCTGAAATATAACATGCAGTAGAATTATGTAAACTCGGGTTATTGTCTGTTTGTCAGTCAGTCGTCTTTTTAATGAAAAAAAATCAATTGTGTAAGTAAATGGCAGTTGATTCCCAATATACTCCTCATTTATTAGACACTTTAAATTATAGTCCAGTAGCAGATAATTGGTAGAATTAAATAAAGTTCTTAATTATACAGCCACAATTGATCTTGCACTCTCAGTCAGATTTATGTCTTCCATGAGTTGATATCCAGTTCGGCCAACAAAACCAAATGGTTGTGATTCATTTGATTTTTGAGAAAAGCGACATCTGCCTGCCATTTGTTTAATTACATTTTTATTCAGCCAAGAATTGTCTCCCAAAACTGCTCACAGGAATGAACATATAATACAATAGAAAGTTCAATATAAAATGTTCAGCGGGAATGAGCTGGATTCAGACACAGAGCAGGGAGCTGCTGCCTCATTTCCTTATCAAGGAAAAGACCCAGAACCCCCATTTTCCTGTGGAAGCTCACTGGGTGATTTTTGGACCGGTCACATACTTTTAGACTAATCTATCCCCTGAGTTGCTGTACATATAAAAAGGAGGAGAGGAGAATAATGTAAGCTGCTTTGGTCCCCACTATGGAGAAAGGTGGGGTATAAATGAAGTAAATAAATAATAAA